TCAATCTTTATACATTATGTTGAAATTATGTCATTTGTAAGAAATATATATTTTTTAAAAATCTATTTGATAATAATCATATTATCTCTCTCTCCCTCTCCTTCCCTCCTCTCTCTCTCTTTCTTTCTCACTGTAACTCTGCCTTTCAAAAAAACTACAGCATATTTGTATGGTTCTCAGTAGATATCACTAGATAATAAAATCCTTATTAATTTTTATTTTTTATATATCCAGGTTGTAATTTTGCCATTGTATTATTAAGGTGCTTTATATTTACTGCATGTCTTGTTTTTCTTTTCTTCCTATATTTCTTTTTTTGAGCTACATATTTTTGTTGCCCAGTTTTTTTTTACCCTTAGGTTGTTCATTATGCATTCTTTTACATATCTTTAGTGGTTATATCTACAGATTGTAGCAATTTGTTATAAATTGATTCTTTTACCCATTTATGAACAGTACAAAGAGGGTTGTAAAACTAATTCATTTGCTTTCTCTTGCCTTGTTGCTGCTGTTTTGTATTTTAAGATTACAGTATTTTAGCATTATTATAATTATTGTGAATACTGAGGTTTTTTTAGATGTACTCCCATTTGCCATTTTCTTTTTTAAATTTTTACGTATATCGATTTTACATTGTACTTTTACATTTATTTATTTTATTGGAAATGCAGAGAGAGAGAGAGAGAGAAAGAGACAAAGATCTCCCAACTGCTGCCCACTCATCAAGTGCTTCTTTTTTTCTTTCTTTTTTTTTAAAGATTTATTTATATATTTATTTGAAAGTCAGAGTTACACAGAGAGAAGGAGAGGCAGAGAGAGAGAGGCCTTCCATCTGCTGGTTCACGCTCCAGTTGGCCACAAAGGCCAGAGCTGCGCCGATCCAAAGCCAAGAGCCAGGAGCTTCCTCTGAGTCTCCCACGTGGGTGCAGGGGCCCAAGGACTTGGGCCATCTTCCACTGCTTTCCCAGGCCATAGCAGAGAACTGGATCAGAAGTGGAGCAGCTGGGACTCAAACTGGCTCCCATATGGAATGCTGGTGCTTCAGACCATGGCTTTACCTCCTGTGCCACAGCGCCAGTCCCCTTATTTAGCTTTTATTGATAAGGGAAAACTGTTCCTCTACTGGCAGGTTCAGTTTTTTAGGCAGCCCATTGGTTAAACTGATAAAAGGTTAATCAGAGAAATCAGAGATTTTTAGTCATATGTATTTATATGGATTTCACCAAAAACTGACTAAAGGAGATGGTCACAATTTGTGGCTTCTATACTATCTTACCATAGAGATAAGGGAGAAGGTAAAAGGTGTAACTAGAAAAAGAAAAAAAAAAAACCTTAAATTTAAATGTACCCTTAGGTAAATATATAGGAGATACAGTGGTTTTGCAACAACACCTGTTTAGGTGATTTCTTACCCTGGATGCTCAAGTCTTACCCTTAATAGGCGTCAGTCTTCCCTTCTTATGAAACTCCCAGGGGAAAGGATTTATGAATTCGTTTGGAGCCTATTCTTTTAGGCAGATAAAGGGAATTCAGAAAAGACTCTACACAGTGATGTATTCTGGATCCCTTTGCTTTCGTTGTGTAAAGCTTTGTTTTTTGAATTTGTTTTTAATTTTTATTTGAAAAAGAGAGAGATCTTCCTTGTGCTGGTGCATTCTCTAAATGCCCACAGCAGGCTGAGTTGGAACCGGCAAAAGCTAGGAGTCTACAGCTCCATCTGGGTCCCCGACATGGATGTCCGGAGCCAAGGTACTTGCGCCATCATCTGCTGTCCCTCAGGTTGCACATTAGCATGAAGCAGGAACAGGGTGAGTGTGGCTGCGACTCAAACCTCAGCACTCTGATATGGAATACAGATGTCCCAAATGGCTACCTCAGCTGCTGTGCCAACACACCCCCTCTGCAAAGATTTTTGAATATTGTTACCTATTATTATTATTATTATTATTTTACAGGCAGAGTGGATAGTGAGAGAGAAAGAGAGACAGAGAGAAAGGTCTTCCTTTTTGCCGTTGGTTCACCCTCCAATGGCCGATCGCGCTGATCCGAAGCCGGGAGCCAGGTACCTATCCTGGTCTCACATGCGGGTGCAGGGCCCAAAGACTTGGGCCATCCTCCACTGCACTCCCGGGCCACAGCAAAGAGCTGGCCTGGAAGAGGGGCAACCGGGACAGGATCCGGCGCCCCGACTGGGACCAGAACCCGGTGTGCCTGCACCGCAAGGTGGAAGATTAGCCCACTGAGCTGCGGCGCTGGCCGTTACCTATTATTTTGGTTTAGCATTTTGAAGAGGTCATTGCATTCTTATTGGGCTTCCATCAGTCCTGTTGTTGCCTTTTGAAGGCAAGAAAACGTCTTTCCCTCTTGTACTTAGTTGCTCCCTATGATTTATATAACAAAAAAAAAAAAAAAATTGAGGGGTGGGGGGCTGCAACGTTCTGGCATAGCGGGTAAAGCTGCACTGGTGCCAACATCCCATATGTGTGCTGGTTTGAGTCCCAGCTGCTCCACTTCCGATCCAGCTCCCTGCTAATGGACCTGAGAAAGCAGTGGAAGATGGCCCAAGTAGTTGGACCCCTGCATGCATGTGGAAATCCCAGAAGAAGCTCCTGGCTTTAGATCAGCCCAGCTCTATCCATTGCATTATTTGGGGAGTGAACCAGTGGATGGAAGATCTCTCTCTCCCTCTCCTTCCCTCCTCTCTTTCTCTTTCTTTCTCACCGTAACTCTGCCTTTCAAAAAAAAAAAAAAAACAAAAAACAAAAAAAACTACAGCATATTTGTATGGTTCTCAGTAGGTATCACTAGATAATAAAATCCTTATTAAAATTTTTTTAATAGCTTTACTATTATATACCTGAATGTGATTTTCTTTTGTCCTGCTTCAGGTTTATAGCACTCTAGTTCAATGTGTTTTTTTTTTCCCCCAGTTTTAAAGAAATCTTGGCCTTGGGGCCAGCACTGCGGCACAGCTACAGCCACTGCTTGTGACACTGTCATCCCATATGAGTGCTAATTAAGAGTAATGGCTGCTATACTTCCAGTCCATCTGCCTCCTTAATGTGCCTGGGATAGTAGTGGAAGATGGCTTAAGATCTTGGGCCCCTGCCACCCCCATGGGAGATATGGATTGAGTTCCAGGCTCCTGACCTGACCTGTCCGTTGGGACCAATTGCAGAGTGAACCAGTAAATGGAAGATCTCTCTCACTGTTTTTCCCTCTCTTTGTAATTCGTACCTTTGGATCACTAGAAAACACATAGAAGGAAGAAGAAGAAGAAAATCTTGGCAAATATCTTCTCAAGTCCTGCTTACTCTTTTTCTTATACTTCAGATACAATTATGTTAGACATTTTTTGCCATGTCCTGTGTGTTTATTATTTATTTTGTCAAGTTTTCATCAATTTTTTTTTTGTATGTTTCAGACTAATTGTCGGCCGGTGCCGCGGCTCACTAGGCTAATCCTCCGCCTTGCGGCGCTGGCACACCAGGTTCTAGTTGTGGTCTGTCCTGGTTGCCCCTCTTCCAGGCCAACCCTCTGCAGTGGCCCGGGAGTGCAGTGGAGGATGGCCCAAGTACTTGGGCCCTGCACCTGCATGGGAGACCAGGAGAAGTACCTGGCTCCCGGCTTCGGATCAGCGCGGTGCGCTGGCCGCAGCTTGCCGGCTGTAGCGGCCATTGGAGGGTGAACTAACAGCAAAGGAAGACCTTTCTCTCTGTCTCTCTCTCTCACTGTCCACTCTGCCTGTCAAAACAAAACAAAACAAAACAAAACAAAACAAAACAAAAAAACCAGACTAATTGTCACTGACCTACCTTCCCTTCCTACCTTTTGGTTAATGTTTCCTCCTTTGGTTGAGTTTATTAAGCTGATAAATATATTCTTGTTTTAATTTTGTTCAGTACTTATGCAATTTCCATTCTGTTTTGAAACTCTTTATTATGCCTTCTATTGTCCTAAAAGTATTAACTACATTTATTCCAGTGCCTGGATATGAAACTTTACTTTGATTTTCTGTCTATTCCTTTTTATTCATTTGTTTGGTTGTCCCTTGTGCCTGTTAATTGGTGATTGGATGTTGAAAGGTTTTTTTTTTTGTTGTTGTTGAAAGGGTAGATTTTAGTCTCTGTGTATTATCTTCCGCTAGAGATTTCTTTGGATTTCTGATTAACTAGAAATCATATCAGTTAGGCTAGGGGCTGATAGTGTTAATTTAGGGGCTGAGCTGATTCTAGGCTGGATTTTTTTAGTCTTTACTAGAGTTTTCTCTGTTTCCGTTTTGCATATTCCTAGTATGTAGCCCTTTATGCTGGCCCTTCCTTGCATTGCTGCTGTTGTTTTTCTTCCCCACCCTTAAAGCTTTACTTAGCTTTTTGGCTGCCAGTCAGCTTAAATACAAGTCACCATAATGTAGTTTGAAGGTGTGTTTTGGACTTTGGGGGCCTGGTCTACTTTCTGTTTCCATGGGTATACCTGTATTCATGCTGAAAAATCTGGGTAATCTGTCATGACCCCTTCACACTGATAGGCTATGAACCACTTTTTATTTCCCCAGTTCTGTTAGTTGCTAGCAGTGGTTAGGCTTCTCTGTACTTACTTCTGAATAGTAAATGCTTCAATGAGAAAAGTTAAGCTGAACGGTGTCTGAATGCTTATTTCTCTAGAATTTTGGCTTAAATCTTGGCTGGCTTGGTAACTTCCCAATGCCTTTAAAAATGTTTTTAAAACAGTCTTATTCTAGCATTTTTAGGTGCTGTTTTTGGGTGACTAGTCTGATAGAAATTAATCTGCTGTTGACAGGAAGGTAACTTTTTGTTGTTGTACTTTTAAATTATTTAGTGTTGAAATAATCGTACCTTGTTATGTATGTCATCAGAAGAGCAGAGTAAGTTTTCCTTTCTTCCCCAGATAACAAAATATACCACTTTTGACCGGTGAATGAAGACACATGTTTTGTGTGCGTATGTACATTTAGTTAACAATATTTTTCTCTTCTTTAGGTTGCTTAGCCAAACAATGAAGGATCATCTTGTAAGAGTAGCAAATGAAGCTGAATTTATCCTGAGCAGGCAGAGGGCAGAGGATATTCACAGACATGCAGAATTTGAGGTAGGTTACACATGTGGCTGGTATGAGGTGATTACTGTTTTTCAATGGTGACCATGGGAAATTGCCCAGCTAAAATGACACTGTGGTCTAAGGAAACACTTTATATATCATTAGAGTTAATTTTATGAGAGAATCATGGGGGATCCTGGGAAAATGGAAGAAGCCTGTTTAACTGTCTCATCTCTACTCCAATTCACCACCAGTAGCTCAGAGCACTGTCTGTGTTTGGCTGACCTGATCTTAATATTGGGAGCTGAGTCTTGGCTCAAGAAAATTAACAAAGGCCCTCTGACTCCCTGGGTAAGACAGAGCTATTTAACTAGAAATTAAAATCTCTATAGCAATGATATTATCTTCCAGGTTTCTAGATAGGACCAGACACAGAGGTGTGAAATTGCTCTACCCGTGATGTTTGAGAGCCTCAGAATCTCTGCAGTCGAGGGAATGAGGGTGCATACAGAAGGACCCCGTGATAGACCATCCTGGGACCATAGCTTAGGTTAGCAGTTGCACCTGGATGTGCATACACAATATGAATTTGTAAAGGAAGTGCTTTTATAGGGATACATATAACCATGAGCCACCCAAGGTACAGTAGGAAAACTGACAAGAATATTTAGTATAGCATTTGAAAAAAATTAAATATCATTGTATAAGTTCTTTCTAGCATGTCAAGAGCAGATAAATCATGTTGCTGATATTTTTCTGGTACCTTAGAAACAGTGCATTTTATACAGCCAGCATAACCTGAAAATAATTCTAGAAAGGTAAAACTCTAAGAAGACCAATTTTACTTAAGACTATGGACACAAAATTTTAACTGAAACTATAGCTAATATAATCTATTACTGTAATTAAAGAATTACAAAGGTGAGTGCTGAGAATTTTTCCTGGAACTCAAACATGGTTTCTTTTAGCATATCTACCTTCAAGTTAAATTCTATCAAAAAATTAAAAAGAGAAAAATGTGAAGATATCAATAAGTGTTGGAAAAAAACATAAGTTTTAGCAGCCAGCCATAATAAAACTCTATGAAAAAGTTTGCACAGGAAAATAAATATGAAATGTGATTAAATATAATTTTAAATTATTAATGCTATTTTTAACAAAATTAGAAAAATAACTGATAACCGCTATTGATTAGCTTAAGTTTTGATGTTCTTGCAAATATAGGGTATAGTATAGGATATAGTTAATATAAGTGCTAGAAAAGATGAAATAATATTATAGTCAAATTCTTTAATGTGATTGTCTATAAAAATCTGAATCTTAAATATTTTCCTACCATAGTTAATAATAAAATTTGGTGAGATTATTGGATACCTGATAATTTTGACAAGCAGTTATCGACTAAGCTGGAAATAATGGTGTCGTCAGTTTTTACAAAACAATGTTTGGACCAAACTTTGCAAGAAAATTACAGATACTCTTTGGGAAAAAAAAAAACTACAAAATATTTTCAAAGGATTGAAACAAAAGCATATTAATAAATTTTTTCATGCTGAATAGTATGTTTATATTTTATGAGTCTTTGTGTATGTGTGTGTATTTGTGGGGAGAGAGGGAGTGAGAGAGAATATATCAGTCCTTTTCTCTTGAAATAATTTGAGACTTAAGAAAAATGACAAGAATAGTTTAAGAACTTCTGTTCATTATTCTCCCAGATTCTTTAATTGTTCTTTCTCTCCTTTTCTTTGTTTTCTGAATTAGGGACTAAGGTGAGGTGGAGATACCCTTAACTGCAGATACTTCATTGGGAATTTCCTAAGCATGTTCTCAGTCTTAATCTGGTGCAGTAACCAAAATAAAGTTAACATGAACCTGGTGCTGTTACGTGCAGATGTTATTCATATTTTTCATGCTGTCTTCATAATACCTTTTATAGTCAAAGTGAGAAAATTTTATTATCACAAAAACGTCAGTTTTTCTCAAATTAATACAATTCAATGCAGTATGCATTAGCATGATATTCTATTACAATACCAATAGAGTTTATTTGGAATTTACATATCCCCCCAAAATATTTAAAACATATACATGTTAAATTTGGATATTCAAATACTCTTTTTCTGTGGGAAAATAAATGGTTTGACATAGACTTAGTATTCATTTCAAAAGAATATTGAGAATGTACTTGTCTCACCAGATTTTAAAATGATACTATCAAGATAGCATGTATTAAAAATCTTCAACATGGTATAAAGATATAGGGTGAAAGATGACATAGTGAATATCTTAGAAAACATATTTAGAAAATTTAAAAAGTGGAACTGAGTCATGTGTGAGAGTTTAGTAACCAAGATGAGATATGTAGTAGGTACAAATATGTAAGTTGACATCTATTACATGTGGCATTAAGCTTAGGAAAGATGACATCAACAACTTGGAGAGAGAGATGATGCATTTGAGTGATATCTGGTCAGTGTACTAGTAATTCTAATGAAATAATAGGAGTTAAATTAGTAGACACATCCTCAAAACATAAGACAAGAAAATTTGAGGAAGCAAAGTGACCAATAAATATATAAAATGATACTCTATAAATATTCTGGGAAATGTAAATTAGAGAATTTGTGGTCTGTCACTTTCTCTATTCTCAGATTGAAAGAAAGTAAAAAGAGTGATAATAGGTACTGCTGAAGGGAATAAGAGAGATGAGAGGGTGCCATGCTTTTATATTGCTAGCAGAATGGACATTTTTACTCATATAGCAAAGCAGTGCAGTTACATCTATCAGAATAGCTATAGACTACTTACATACACACAAATGGTTCTTTCCCCAGTTATCCAATGTTTGTGACTATATCTTTTAGAAATAGAGGTAATATTACATTAAGAATATGATGCAATCCTGTTTATTGCAGTTCTGTATGAAATTTAGCAAAATAAAAATCAGCTAAGGAGAAATGGGAGGAAATATTTAACAAAAACACCATTATTTTCTAAAGAATAGGTGTTGCTCCCCCTCTTCGCGGAGGAACGACACAAGACCCTGCACTGTTCTTTTGTCTGCTCGGCCCTTCCCGGGTTTGCTGCTGGTTCTTCCCGGGTTGGCTGGCAACCCTTCCACCTCCGTGGAAGGGCGGCTCCCCCGCCACTTTCCCCACTTCCGCGGGGGAGCGGCATACCGCCGGCCGGCTCTCCCGGGGGCTGCTCAGATGTTCCTCAGGTGTTCCTGGTGCATGTTGTCTCTCTCCTCCTTTATAGTCCTCTTCCACCAATCCCAACTCTGCTACCCACACGCCGAGTACGCTGCTCTCCTCCAATCAGGAGCAGCTCCTGCAGTTTATTGGTCGAACTGGAGGCAGCTGTGTAGAAGCTGTTTGCTCCTCTCCCAGCGCCATATTGTGGGAGAGCAGATGCACAGAATAAGTCTTAATTCCAGTAACTTAGTCTAGTCCGAGTTGCTCCCCACAAATAGGAGGTTAATAAATTATGAAGAAATTAAGAGGTTAGTGTATTCATTTTTTAAGCAAAAGCTTTATTGTGATACAATTCCCCAAGCCATGATTCTTTTTCAGATTATTTGTGTCATTGCTTTTTACAGTCCATATTTCAACTCACACCCTGCTATTTAAACTGTTGACTAAGTACTCCTGTACTTTATTTGTATGTTCTTTTCCCTTACCTGCTAGTTAGTTAAGTTACATTTTTAATGTCCATTTTTTTATTTTTTAAAGATTTATTTGTTCACTTGAAAGTGAGAGTTACACAGAGAGAGAAGGAAAAGCAGAGAGAACAAGAGAAAGGAAGGGAAAGAGAGAAAGAGAGAGAGTGAGTTAGTTCTTCCATCTGCTGGCTCACTCCCCAATTGGCTGCAATGGCCAGAGCTGCACAGATCCAAAGCCAGGAACCAGGAGCTTCTTCTGGGTCTCCCACATGGGTGCAGGGGACCAAAGACTTGGGCCATCTTCTACTGCTTTCCCAGGCCATAGCAGAGAGCTGGATTGGAAGTGGGGCAGCTAGTACTCAAACTGGCGCCCATTTAGGATGCTGGCATGGCCGGCGATGGCTTCACCTGCTGTGCCACAGTGCCAGACCCCGTATTTTCTAAATTTATATAATTCATGTTTTGCAATCAAAAGTCTGTTAGTGCTTGAGTGTTTGTTCTCTTGCTATATCAGTTAAATATCTCACTAACCCATTTTGTTAGTCATAACTTAATTTCCATGTTCTTTCTTCTTAAAATTCAGTCCTTAGTTGGATATGTTTCATAATTATATTTTTTCCACAAAAGTCTCATGTGCTCTAAACTTAAAATATTTTCCTGTTTAATAATATTTGCTAGCTATCTTTATTTGAGTGACATTCTGATTTAATTTTTTTAAATTTAATGTTGTTGACTAACACTTGCACTATCTTAGAACTTTGTAGACATTGATCTATTTTCTTCTGACTTTTAATGTTACTTTCAGAGGATAGTATGGTATTTTTCTCAGGTTTTGATATGCTTTTGATATCTTGTGGCCCTAGATTTCTTTGTATACAAAATTAAATTCTTTAACAGCAGTACAGTTTAGTACTAAACATTATCTATCTAATTTTGTAGAACATAGTTTCTTGTTGTGATCTGCAGGATTAGATTATTCTGTGAGTTCTTGCAAATTTTCTTAAACTGTGGTTTGAAATTTTGTTTTGTTTCCTGTTCTTTTTTTGTACTTAGTGACATTTACTAATCTTATGTTAGATATGTGCATTTGTCTACCATTCTACTAGCTCTTACCTTATTTCTCTATCAGTAATTAAACTTTTCATGTTTTCCCTGATATTTGTTATTTATTTATTATCCCTATAATGATTATGTTTTGTTCCTAATTTTGTTTATTTAGGACTTCAATCTATTTATTTATTTACTTATTTAACTTACGTTGTTAAGGAGACGTTATAGGTTCTATAAAAGTATTAACTAATTTAGTCCTTATATCAAATCTCACTTGATAAATTCAAAAAGAGCAGAAATAACGCAGAGTAACAATTGGGATCCAGATCCAGGACATTTA